CGGGCCAGGGTGTCGGCAGGCGTGGCGGGGCACGGCCGGCGCGCGGGCCAAGGAGGGCTGCTATCCAACCTGTGTTCGTTGTTCGTAGGACTACCTAGTGCCCTACGGTTGTGCAATTAAAGACTATTCCAGTGGCCTCTGCCAACCACCCTCCGCTCACTACAAGCCTTACGCTAGGTCGACAGCTGTAAGTCCGAACGCACGCAAGGTTTCCTTTGGGATTTACGGGCAGCTGGCTGCTTTTGCCGGGTGATCCGAGTGCCTTGCCTGGGCCCTGTCTCCTGCCAAGCATCTCTGCTGGGGAGAAGGGATGGGGGATGCAGGGAGGCAGCGGGAGAGGGGAAGACTGGTTGCGGAACAGGCAAGGCACGGGGAGCGACGGCACAAAACGGCACCGTAAACCCCCAAAGGACAACGCTTGCCGACTCCATGGGAGCCTCCCACCAGAAATGAGCTGTTCACAGGGAGCTGGAAGTGTTTTCTCTGGCACGTGCCCCTTCAAGCCGGTGACAGTCCCGTGGGAACGCTGGGGTGAGCGTGCGGGGCTGGGACAGACCTCTGCCAGGTGCTTCCCAGTCTGGCAGTTATCCAAAAGGAGCTCAGGGCTTCTCGGATAAGGCGCTGGGAAGGATGCACGGTTGAGTGAGCCCAGCTTAACCCAGGAGCCACTGGCGTGGTGGGATGAGCCGTGTTGGCTTCCCCGGAGCACTCAGCACTTGCCAGCGGATGGGAGGAAGATGAGGAGGGGGGGAGCAGCACCCAGAGAGGCAGCAGCTCCGGCTGGGAACCGATCTTCTTGGCAGGGGATGGGATAGAAGCACAGTCCCGCCTCTTGCTGGGTTTTCCCGGCAGGGTTTGCTGCTGGATTTGGTGGTTTGTGATTGGGAACGTTCCTGGGACGGTGGGAACGTGGGTTTCTGATCTCTGAGCGTGGCCAGCTCAGAGACCAGCGACTCCCGCACCTTCCTGGAGCAGTCCCGTGTTTGTCATGGAGAGCAGGGCTGCGCCGTGGCCGTATCCCAGGGCAGGTCCTCACCCAGGGAGCAACATCCTCAAGGAATGTCCTCCAAGCCTGGTCTTCATCCGCTCCTTAGACCGATGCAGTCCTTCCCTGCTGCAAAGTACTGGCTGAAGGAGAAAATGATCCAAACCCCTGTGGGTTTCTGGTGGGAGTTAATACAGACACACCCCCCTTTCCACGGAACATTTCACTGGTGTCTCCGACTTGTTCAATCCCTTTCCGAGTGTCTCGAAAGTGTCTGGAGCTCTGTACCACAGTGGGGCTGGGCAGAGCAGGCCAGGGGTCCCCCGGTTGTGGCATTCCCTTGTCTTGCCAGGATAAAGTCCTGCTCCCAAGAGAGTGGTGTTACTTTACTCCCTTCCATCCAAATCCCATTTAAATCATTTCCATATCTTTCCACTCCAAATGCATTGGCTTTCAGTCCCAGCATCCCTGAATCCTGATGCACTTTAGTCCGTGTGTGGTACCCAAATGGGCACAGCCCCCGTCCCCCAGCTCACCGTGCTTCCTCCCCTCCTCTCCGCAGGGTCTCGACGACTACGGGACGCGGTCCGTCAGCAGGTAAGACGTCACCATCCTGTTGCGTTTCTGAAAGCGAACCGTCGGTGTTGACTCAGGGTGAAGCCGGGACCCCGCGGGGGTGTCCCTGTGTGGGCTCCCTGTGGACAGGGGGTGGCTGGGATGGGGCCGTGCGCTGGAGGACATGGTGCCGGGTCTTGTCTGTGAGCGAGGAGGGGACCCAGTGTCTCCCAGGGCAGGTCCCAGGGCCACTCCCTTCGTCCCCAACCCCGCGAGGGCTTGTGCTCCTCCGGAGAGTCGCGTCTCCCCAGCCTCCCCCTGGGGCTTGCGCCCAAGGCCACGGAGAGCGCGCGCTCTCGGGGGTCTTTCCCCTGGCATCTGGCATCTCCTCCATCCCCATTCCCTCTGCCTTGCGGCCGCCCCATCCTACTCACA